AGGGAGGGTGGGGAGTTCCGCCTGAAGTTTGGAGAGGCTCTCGGTCCGCCTCCCCCAATAGATCGGAAGCCCCACAAAGGGCCCCCCTGCCCCCAATGGTCCCGGCCACCTGTGGCGGCCTTGCAGCTCCACTGCAGAGCCCCATCAGGGGCCCGGTGGTGGACCTGCAAGGCCGGCGGGAGTGCGAGGAAGCCCCGCGAAGGCCCTCCCTGGCCCCAGGCAGGCAGGTGTGGGGAGAGGTGGGGAGGAAGCAACTTACCCTCCCTCTTCTCCTGTCTCCTCCTGGCTGAATGAGGGCCGGAAGCGGGGCGGCCGGAAGCAGGGACAGGGCTTCGTCGTGTGCCCCGCCCCCGCCCCTCACCCGGGGGAACGGCGATCCCCCGCGTTCCCCCCAAATCGACCTCTGGCTTTGAAGTGATTTTCTACAAGATTTCTGCATTGACAATTCATAATTATGGCATCTGTCCTGCCTATAGAGTGTGAAGAGATAGGAATGAAAGCAGACCAAACTGAAATGTACATGGGTTCTAAACTATGGTTAGTACAAACTATCGGGTTGGATCCTATGGACATGCTGCAGGTGGAATCAGATGTTCCCTTCTTTTCCCAACCAGCCTCCTGTGACCCTAAAAAGCCACTGCCAGGGTTTAGGACACCCTTGCAGATCAAAACCTCGGCAGGTCAGGAGGCTGTAGTGAGGATGGTAGGGCATCCATAAGATCTAACCCATAGGTTGGTGTGAAGCGAACAAAGGTTTACTTAGTGAGGTCATCGCTGATTTTTTTTTTAACAAGAATCTCCCAGTTCATGCTGTTAGCCACTGTGCTTCACCAGCTCTCATGCTGTTAAAAAAGAGGTTGATATTTCCTATAAGGATTTCAGGTATTGCTTTCTGTTCTTCAGGCTACAAATAATGAGAAGAAAAGACAGCATATGGAATGAAATAGTATTCTGCTCACTGGGTACCTTGCCACTTAATGAAATTGTTATTTGGACCTGAGTCAAGAATCCTATAAGTACATTTGTTTCTGTGCCTGAGCTCTGTAAAGTGGCTGCAGCCTGGCCAATCAACTAGAAATCATGGTCGTCTCATTCAGCATACTAGGAAAACAAGATGGACGCACCTATTCTGAATGGTGTAAAAACAGGGTCAGGATACAAAGTGCTGCCGCCCTACAATTGCAACAGGGAGCAGAACTGCATTGAATAACTGTGACTTACAGCTGTTACCTTCTCCTAGTTCTGTTGTTGCCCACCAAGTGGGGGGGAGGGGAAGAAAAGATAAGCTGGCACAAGTGGAAGAAGGTTAGGCACATCATTTGCAGTTGCTAGGACTCTTCAGTATGAAGGTGGAATTGACAATAGATAGGACTACATTTACCGAAAGAAAGTTAAATAGTTTTTAATAGAATATTAGGCAGTAGTGGGACAAACACTGGGCAAACAGTAAGCTAAATTTGTCTGCCTGTGATTGGAAATCAGCTGTCAGCTCCTTCATCGTGAGGTTTTCAGAAGACCCATAATAATAAAGGTACTTGAGCACGTGTTAATTTTTATTTTTTACTGTAAATCAAACCCCCAAATACAAATAAATAATCATAACAAACGATAACAACAATAGTGGCAAGTCTACTGATAAGCCTCCACAAAAGGTTTCAAAATATCTAATATCTAATTCGAATGGATATTCAAAATATCCATGAGCAATGTGTTCGAATGTTGATGAAGTTGTAAGGCCCTCAATCCATTGCATTACAGGAGGTGGGCATTTATCTGGTGAGCAAGTACAGTAAAGAGAGGTGTTCTAAGTTATTTGCAGCCTTTCTAGACTTGAAGGGAGCCTTTGACTCCATCCCTAGAGACCTTTTATGGAAAAAACTAAGGGACCTGGGTACTGATGAGAGGTTGTTTTTCCTGATTAGGAAGATGTACCTCAACACCACTTGCCAGTTGAGATGCTCCAATGAGTGCAACTTAACCCCTAAGATTCCAATAAATGTTGGAGTAAAACAAGGCTGCATCCTAGCCCCTTTATTATTCTTTTTTTGAACAATTTAGACTGTTATTTGAAAACCACTGATGGCCATAGTTCTAAATTAGGGGTGGTTCATCTCCCATTGCTTCTCTATGCAGACAATGCGGTACTTCTTTCCCTGACCCTGAAAAGACTCTTAGTCCACTTTCTTGAATATTGTGATGTTAATAAATTAACTTGGGAAATCTAAAATCATTGCCTTTGGGAAGACATGGAAGCCTAATAAATGGAAGGTAAGAGGTAACCTGACTGAGCAGGTTCCAAGCTTTAAATACCTGGGAATACACTTTCATCATAGCCTTAGATGGACAGTACATAAAAGGGAAATGACCAAATCTGTCAATAGTACCATGCTTGCAGTTTCTTTTCTTTCTTTTTTTAAGCCCCCCAAAGGGGAATTTTTTATTTGCATTTCTATAAAACTACAACAGAAATTGGGGAAGGAGAGTCTACAATCTATAGGAAAAAGTAAAGAAAACCTAACTAAAAACCCAAGAATGGAGGTTATACAATGCTTAAAACATAGTTGTTACTCTTATACATTTGCTTTCAAACATGAAGAGTGCCCGCCAATCATCGCTTCTGCTGACAAAACCTGCTTGTCTGACTGAACAGAGAGTAATTCCAAAGCTATAACACACATAATCACAGCCCTTAAGAAAAATTTAGCATCTCCACGCTTTACTCCCCACCCCAGGCAAAATCTTTAAAACCAATGTTCCCTCAGTAAGAACATTACAACATGTTTTTCTTCTTCCGTCTTTGATGTATCTTCTTTCTTCAATTATCTTTTAGTTTTTATAAGTCCTGATCTGTCCATTCATGATATAA